AAAATGGAATTTCATTGATCAACTTTACAAATCTTAATCTTGATAAATTTTGCACCAACTAGGATCAATGGCAGGATAATGTGAGATTCAAGAAATTTGTTGTTTTATGTATCGTTTGATAATTTAATTGGTAACGTATTGTAGGTGTTTTTTAAAAAATATATATTTGAATACTTTTTTAATATGGTATATTAAAATTATTCAAAAATATTTTAAAAATCAAATTTATGTTTTTACGGCACAAATATACTTTGAAAGGCACTTTCAAACACAATATAAATACAGCACCCTGTTATTAAAGAAAAATTAATAGAGTGAACGCTTAGAGACACAGTAATAAGAAAACAGTCAATAAGAGTCAACTGTCGTGAGACTAATTTATACATTTTAGAACATGAAAGACTAACATATAATTGCATCCAAAACCTAGGGACTAACAAATAATTTACTTGAGCAACAAATGTTCTCATGGAAGACAAATTAGCCGAAAGAACTCATGAACTGAATATAAAAACAGAACTGGATACATTACCTTCAGTTTCACTTACACATGTCTCTAAGACACATTGTAGCCCTTTCACATGCTCTTTTCCCCTTTCTCCCTCGATGCCTTCCACGGCATGCAATAAGGTCAGAAAGTTCCCGGAAACCAACATGTATCTTTTCACCTAGGTAACTGTACTTCATAAAATTAACAAGTGTTCGCTTGTTTGAAGAAAAAACAAGGGCGTCAACGCCCATGGTATCCCCACTTCGTTTTCCCTATAAAAACATGATTTTTCTTCCCATTCAGGCAAAGTGTAACACTTTGCATCCTAAATAAGTTTTTTATCATCTTCTGCTACAATCAATGGATGTATTTATTCCTGAAGATTATGTTATGCGGAGAAGAAAAGAGAAAAAGGGAGCTGCGATTGCTGGAAAAAGGCAGGAGGAATCAAGAAGGAGAAGTGTTGAAGAGAAAAAAACTAATCCATCATCATTTCGATTTGAGAACGAGTCTTTAGTCGCTAATGGCCTAAGTGAAAGTGTAATCTTCAGCTGGTTCTCAGCATAGGCCTTGTCATGCTATGTAATGTAGTTTTAATTAAACAGTCTCTATGGTGTTAGTTTTACCAACAAGTATAATGCCCTGTCTTGATGTAGAACACATATGGAAGCGTGTGTACGTAACTGCAGAGTAAATTATGTAACCAAATCTCTGTAATAGGTTAGTTATAACCTAACTTCAGCCCGTTACCACTCTATTTATGAGAAAATAAAAATCATCATTAACCAGACTTCGATGAATTTTCTGTTTTTTAATGTGTGAAAGGAGCAGTTAATAACTAGCAGCAAGCTAGAGCGTGGGTTCTCAGCTCGCAAATATCCTGATCATGTCAGACATTAAAATTAGTCATATGCATTGTGTGTGTGTGTGTGTGAGTGAGTGAGTATGCCCCAGTGGTCATTTATGTTCCTTGTGCTTGACAGAGGCTGTCATTATAATACTTTGGGCTTGGAATCACGAAAGAGTGCTCGTATTAACAAAAACTAACTTAAAGGTGCAGGTGCTTTACTCTAGAGAAACATTTTCCACCATTAGGATGTTTTACTCTTTTGGTTTCTTAATTTCCTTTTCTTGTTTGGTCTTTCAATATTATTTTGATTTGTGATTAGTATTGATGATTTGTTTTAAATGTTTATTTATAAAGATCTTGGGATGTCCAAGAAATATTATATCACTCGGAATGCTTGACTCTACAAAATAAAATTTTATTTTATTAATTTGAAAAATTATAATTTAGGGAATCAAATTTAAAGCTTAGACTAATTTGTTTGATGAAATGAAAAGTTTGTCATCTTTTTTTTTAATTTTGATCCATTCATATTAATTTTATTTGAGATTTAACTTCTTGATTTGTTTTGTTTTGTTTGCTTAGGTGTAGGGTTCTCACAATGTCTTAAGAAAATTCTAGCACTTGATTAATGATTACTTTAGTATAATAAAATAAATTTTTTGTTGATGTAAAATAATTAAGTTAATTTTAAAGGACTAAAACCAGAACTATTTGAGTTCTCAAAATCATATACAAGAGAAGAAGAAATAAAAGCTTTTTTGAGACTCACAATTGTTTTATTGTAGACATTTCTCTACACCAAAAATAGCTCACCAAAACGGTTCTAACACAACTGCAAAACGTTGCGTGATAACACCAAAATAGATCACTTGCATTGTCAAAGCAACAACCCTGAAAACAAATAAAATAAAATATCATGAAGTGAGAATCTCATACTTGTATTTAATCAATTAATTCTATTAAATTTAAAAATAAAATTTCTTTTTAAAAAACTAAATTTAACAAAGAAAAACAAGTAAAAAAACCTGAGATAACTCGGTTCATTTTCAAAATTAGTGAAACATCATATATAAAGTAAATAGAAAATAACATATCTCAATCTCCAAACTCGAGTGAATATCTTAAACATATGTTAATCTTCTAAACCCGGAACTCATGGAATCCTAAACCCATGCTTAATCAAAAAGCTTAATTCTAAACTAATTTTATGTTGAATGTTGAAATAAAAAAATATCAATTTAAAAAATTTACCTAGCAAATCTAGTTGAATCTCCTAAATCTGAGTTAATCTCCTGGAACTCCAAATCAAAAGTTCACTTCCCACATAAACTTTTTAGAAATGTAGAGGCTCTCATGACAAGTCAGTACAAGTCTCCACTCTCGTAACTTAAAGATGAAATGGTTGCTCAAAAGGCGCAAACATGTCCCACTTACACATAATTTTTATTTTTAAATAATACTTTATATTTATTTAAATACTAAATTTTAACATGGTCAACTTGATTGCAAACTAAAATATCATGATGAAAATATAAAAAAATCATAGATTCTAGCTTAAAAAATTTCGCTTTTAAAAGTAAATAAGTAATTTTATTATACTTTAAACTAAAAATACGAAAAAAAAAATTTATAGCCAAGTTAAAATTTTTTATTTTAAAGAATAGTCCTGTCTTATTTTATTATATTGAAAAATATAAAAAGATTTTTTTTTTCATTCAATCTGAAAATAATTTATTGGTCATAAAAAAAAATCATATCACTCCTTAAGTGCAATTTTAATATTTGTTTTTTTTTAATGATATAATAGTTATTTTATTATCCCAAAACAATAACATGTGTCCTGGTATTTAATGAAAAGGAATATTTATAGTTTTTTTTTTTAAATTATTTTGGATTTCCTTGAGAAACTACCATTAACATTTTTGTAGTCGATTTCCAAGCCAGAATAGAAAAGTCTTGAAAACAGAATAGACATGAAAATTACGATGCACCCTTGAAGTTCTAGCATTTGGTCAAATCTTTTTCTAAATTGAGCCTGCTGCTTTCGTTTTATTGGGTCGATTCATCCAACCAGTTTTCCGATAAATCATTGCTACGTCCAAGGATATCGGTGACTATTGGGACCTCATCATTGGTAAATTGAAACATGCAAGAATAAAAGAGGCTGATTCGACCAAATCTGACCTCTTGAAGGGTCGGTGGTTACTTTAAAGCAATAAAAATAAACGTTATAACAATGAGTGTCAGGATGGCCGAGTGGTCTAAGGCGCCAGACTCAAGTTCTGGTCCTCGTGAGAGGGCGTGGGTTCAAATCCCACTTCTGACAGTTTTGCACCTCGTTTATCCTGGCTGATATGACTCCTAACCTATTCTTCATTTGGTTAATTAAACATTATTATTATTAATTTTCTGTCCACCTAATTTTTTTTTTATTCCCATCAACATGATTTAACTTTTATTATTCTGATGTGATCAATTTTGATTTAAAACTTATTTTTTATCTTGGTTGATATATTTGAATTGTATTAATCTAATGTACTCGGTTTTAATGGAAAAAATAATTAATTTTATAAAAATATATTTTTAAATTTTTAATAATTTTTTTAGTTTTTTTATAAATATAAATAAAAATAAACTAACATATAATAAAATTTTAGAGAATTCAAAATTTAGTTATTGCAGTTGTCCTTGTTTTATAATGTTTACTTTGCAAAATCTTGAAAAATTAGGTTATTATAGTTACTTGTTTTTTGTTTTTTATTTTTTTTCTTTATAGTAAAGTGTAATAGATTTTATGATTTAATTTTTGGACCAAAAACCAGTTAACTTTGTGTTATTGATTATCATAATAACTAAAATCTAGAAAAAATAAATGATGCATCTATAGACAACTTGCAATAACAATTTTTCAGTAAATTAGATTGAAACAAAAACTCTTAGCATTTTACTATCTCTTATTACCCAAAACAAAAGACCATGATTTTTTCCAAATTAGATTTTACGGGAAAAATAATCTCTTAAGATTTCTATGTGACAATGGATAAAATTCATCTGTTTATAACATTTTCTATAACTACTGTACTCTCCTTTCACTTCTCCTATGAGATAGGAGGGAGCCACGAGTACAGTCTTTTAGAACTAAAGTGGTGTTTTGGTCGTGATAGTTTTTATGGTGTACGATGAATTTTTACTTGTAAAATAAATAAATAAATAAATAAATAAGTTTTATAAATAAATAAAATTATTTTAATTTTTACAGAATTAATATCCAAAATAAAATTATATGTGAGATCCAATACAAAACGTAAAAATTATTTAACTAACTAAATTTTTTTTTCTAGATAGTTGGGGAAAAAAAGATCCTATAACAATACTAAACGTAAGATATACGTATCTTGATTTTATAGAAAACAAAAGGAATATATAGAAGTATGTGTATATATATGGCATGCATGATTATGCCATCATTTTTTTTTTATTTTTTTTTTGGGAAAAGAATGTCGTCTTGAAGCCATCATCACCAACTCCAAAGCATTTACTTCCATATATTCGGTCTCCATCATGAGAAGTATTCAGCTGGGGACCCAAAGTTTTTCACCAAAAAAAAGGAAAAGATTAACAACAGCAACAAAATATTCGTTTAATTTGGACATGATCATGTGTGCTCAAATTAATTTAGACTTTGCAATATAAAATGATTCAAGCACACAGAGATGGCTAGGTTACATGCATACCCCCACCATTGTTTGTTCTCTATGTATACATAACGTCTATTAAAATAATTTTACCAGAAAAGTAGTGCATCGACCATGTTACTTAGGGTAGATCAAGTAGAGGAAGTAGTTTTGGAGATCATACAGTTTTAATATTGGATCAAGTCTGTACTTTGAGTCAGAGAGATGTTGGGAGGGGGTGAAGGTCTTATCATTCGCAAGTTGTTTCTATCTCCACAGAATCATCCATGGAGTGGCTGGAATGAGACACCAAGTTGACAAGAAAGTCAAAGATATCTGTTCCTATAACAGCAGAGGCAACATCCTCCTTGTGAAGCGTTCTCCTCTTGCCTTGCATGGTCATCATCCAAGACCTTTGTGTTAGATCCTCAATGAAGAGCTCACATGCTTTTGAGAACACAATCGGTGCCTCGCCGGATATCATCTTCACATCGTCACCGGATTTCTTCATGATCTTCTTGATTCTTGCCAAAGGCAATGAGTGAGGCCCAGTTTTTCCCGATAAACCACCAGAAAGTATTCCTGAGTATGTCCCAGCTTGCCTCATATTGTTTTTATGTGGGGTGCCTCGACTCTAGATTATGTTGAGGTAATGATAATAATGTGAGAGAGGCGTATGAAGTTACAGGGAATATATATTTTCCGAGAAGAGGAAGTTGAAGATCGGTGTGATTGCATGAAGAGAATATTTAAATCTAACTTGTCAGAGAAGGATGAGTAAAGAAATAGGTGTCCAGGCCGGCCGGCCAGCTTGATTAGGCCGGCTGCAGTCAATCCAAATATAATTTAATTGTGATATTTAGAATTTTCTTCCATTTTCTTGCATTCTAGACTTATAGCTTGTGGACTTGTTACCCCCAATAACTAATAAAACAATCGCAAAATATCAATATAAAGATTACAAGTAGTGCTTTAGTAGTGCGAAATGGGAATGCAAACCGTACTTCTTTTTGGTTGTACACTCCACTCCAAATTAATTTCGCTATGTGCCATGTATATGAAAAACGTGCGAGAGTATTACTGTAGCTTCATATACATAGTTTGTTGTTATGCATTATTATAGTAAAATTATTTCTTTACTTTTAAATGAGAAAAACTTAAGCCTTGAAACTAGAGGTTTGTTGGTGCTTTTTACTGACTCGTTGGTCATTAATTAAAAACTTATTTTAGGATGTATGCATTTTTTTTATTTTTTTATATAATAAAATTATTTTTTTTACCTTAAAAGTTAATAAAATTTATAATTATTGATAGAAAGCTTTGATAAGATTCTTAATAGTAAAAATGCTTTTTTTCCATCAAGATAAAAAAATTGTTAAGCTATTAGATAGGGTTGTTTATAGTTTTTCAATGATCCATATATAATGAAAACATGTTTTTAACTTTAGAAAAGACAAAAAAATAAGTTTTTTTGGGATATTTTTATATGGGTATTTTATATAATTAACAGGTTCATGGGAGTATTTTGGTATTTTCACGTTATCTTTTCAATTTTTTTTAAAAAAATTTATTGGTGCATCTTCCAAATATGCTAGTGAATAGGTGATGTTTGTGTCATTTAGGTGGTATATATGATATCACTCGGTAGCCGAATCTAGTTATTCATTGTTTCACTAAATGCTCAGTCGTCTTCTATTCCACTTAGTGTGTCGAGTGTGGTCAAATTATCTTCGATGGTTATTTATTTTTATTTTTATTTTTTTCTTTTTTCTCTTGCTCTTGACAACTAAAGTATATCATTATCCTTTTTGTTGTTTGATTTTTAATTTCAGTCCTTATTCTTTTAATTTCTTATTTTATTTTATTCCTTTTATAATTTTTCTTTCAATTTAGTCTTTTAATTACAATTTCTCATATGTTTTATTTTTCATTTATGTCCTCATTCTTTTAATTTATTATTTCATTATTATTCTTATAAATATTTTTTTCAATTTAGTCCTTCAATTATAATTTATGTATATGATGTTTTTCAATTCAGTCCTTCTGCTTCTGCTTTCTTATTTTTTTTTATCTTAGCTCTTTGTCAAAGTTTTAATAGTTTTTAATTTTATCTTTCAAATCAAATTTATGATTTTTTTTCTATAGCAATAATATTTATTTTAGTTTGGTCCCATTTCTTTTGATTTTTTATTTGTTTTCTTTGCTCTTTTGTCAAAGTTCTTATAATTTTTAATTTTATCTTTCAAATCAAGTTTATGACTTTTGTTATAATAATAATAATAATAATAATAATAGTGGTAGTGGTGGTGGTGGTGGTGATAATAATAATAATAACAATAATGATAATGATATATAGTGATCACAGTAATAATACTAATAATGATGATGATGATATTACTTACTGATAATAGTAGTGATAATGATAGCAGTAATGATAGGGACAATAGTACTAATGATGACGATGATAATAATAGTAGTAATAATAACAATAATAATAATATATAGTGATCACGATAATAATATAAATAATAATTATGATAATATCACTTATTGATAATAGTATTGATAATGATAGCTGTAATGATAATGATAATACTAACAACAATAATAATAACGATAAAAATAATAATAGTGTTAATTCATCATTTGATATTAAATTTATTGGGAATTGAGTTTCACTGCTTTCTTATGTGTGGTATTTACAATATAATATCCCGGGTGACCCATTTGAAAAGTTTTTTGTAGCTTGATGTTATTTTTTATTTTTATGTTATTTTTTTATTTAATATTAATATAAAAAATAATTATTCAGATTTTTTATATATTTTTTATTAAAAACTCGAGTGAAACAGATATCAAAGATAAGAAATTAAATTAAAATTTCATTTGTTTGCTCAGGTTTATAGCAATGAAAAAAAAATCCCTATACTCTTGAGTTTTTTTTATGATTTTAAAAACATGGTTCCGTCCGCAGCTGAGCATGCACAAAAGAAATAGTAACTATGGAGATCGTGTAGCTTATTAGCTTGACTAAAAGGAAAAGGCTTTGCTTTTATACGTCTGTCACTGCATATAAACACACACACTCATTCCAAAGTTTTAAGATCAATGCATGATATAAATCAGAGGCAAATTCTGAAACCCATCAACTTATTTTTATTTTAAATCACCTTAAAATAAAAAAATAACCTTTAATCTCTCTAAAAAATAAAAATTAACTGAATAACAAAACTTTAAAATAACAAAATAACCTTTAATCTCTCTAAAAAATAAAAATTAACTGAATAACAAAACTTTAAGATCCTTTTTTTTTATATGGTTAAAGGACAATATCACCTCCATTGAACTTCCCTAAAAATATCAAATCTATTAAAATCAATAGCAAACTTGATATTTTGCTATGACCAAAATATCAGCATTCAAATGTTTTCTCTCTTTTTAATATTTTTTTATGGTTTCCTTTTTATTCTCTTAACTAAGGACTAAAATGTCAAAAAAAATAACGTTTGAAATTAAAATGTAAAGTTTTAAAATAACAAGGACCAAATGATAGATGAATTGAAACTTTATGGATCAAATATAAGTTTTATGTGACAAAATCTAAACAAGGTCTTTTTTTGTTAAATTTGTTCCTTCTTTTAATTTGATGGTTTTCTCTCTATTCTTTCAATATTTAGAAACTAAAATGTAGAAAAAAAAATGAAGTTTGGAATTGAAATGTAAAATTATAAAATAACAAGGACCAAAGAATAGATAAATTGAAACATTATAGAGAAAATTGAAGTTCTTTTGTAAAAATATCCAAACGAGATCTTTTTTTTGTTAAATTTAATTCTTTTTATTTTTTTCAACTATCAAGAAAGTTTTATTTTGCAAAACCAATTTTTAATTCATCATTGGAATATTTATTCACACGTTGTATATGCAAGAGAATGTAAATTGAAAGATTAGAGACCAAATAATAGGTAAGTTGGAACATTATAGAGAAAATTGAAATTTTCTATGATAATATCCAAATAATTTGTTTTTTTATTAAATTTAGTCTTTATTTATTTAATTTATTTTTTAAACTATTAATAAAGTTTTATTTTTTAACATCAATCTTTAATTCATCATTGAAATGTTTCTTGACATTTTGTATATGTACAAGAATGTAAGTGGAAAGAAATAACACTTTTTAATGTCATGTTAATATTATTAGAAAATAATATAAAATAATATAAATTATATTCTAGAATTTTACTTAATAATTTAAGCTATTGGGTTAAAATGATTATTAAAATGGTACTAAAACTTTGATTATCGAATGGTTATGAATTTGGGTCTTATTATTTTTATTTATTTAATAAAAATTAAATAAAAAATTACAAATAAAAAAATTAAGAAATGAAATGAAAAAGAAAATTGCATTAGTCATATGAACAGTAAAACTGAATTCAATATATACCCGCTTTATCAAACTCGAATGAATAGGAAATGTTTTATCGTGGTCGAGTTTGGAATAAAAAATCAGATTTCAGGTTGGATATAAATATTGGTTTACCCATTCCGATCAGATAATTGAATGACACAGTCAATTTTTTTCACCAAATGCCTTACATTCTCTTGCCTTTTCACCAAATGCCATCTTCGCCATCTGTATCATAGAACCAACAACGTTCTTTTTTATCATAGAAAAACAAGCCACCATCATTTAGAGATAAAATTCTTATGAATACACCAACGTCTCTTGTGAGTGCTTTTGAGTGCGTCGATTGGGATTTGAACTGGCGAAAAACAAAAGAGATTTCATGACATTGGACAGTGAATCCATTCTTCGGCATAAATGTAGATACTAGAAGTGGAGGAACTACTAGTTGAGGTTGTGCAGGTAGTACTACGATATTACGAGGTAATTTTGTTATTGTTATTATTGTTGTGGTTATTTTTATTTTTATTATTATTATTTTTTTAAAAAATAAAATATTTAGAAAATATTATAAAACAGTGTTTTATATTTATATTTAATTAATTAATTAATTTAAAATAATTTTTTTAAAAAAAGATAAATTTAATAGAAAATGATAAATAAAAAGATTTAAGATAACCTGAATTATTTTTAAAATTAATAAAAAAATTTAGAAGACAATAAAAAAAATAATAAAATTCAATATCTAATTAAATAAATGTTAAAGTATTAAATTAAAAAAACATAAGTTAAAAACAAAAAAGAAAAGAAAGCAAGAAAAAGTAAACTCACGCAAATCTTTTAAACTTGAATTAATCTCATAAACTCGTAATCTGTGAAATTATAGACTCGATTTCTAACCAATTTAATATTGAAGAATAAAATCAGAAAAAAATATCAATTTAAAAAAATTATTATAATAAAATAATAGTAATAAAAAGAATAATGATCAAATTTGATAGAAAAATAAATTAAAGAAGGATAAAATTATAGAAAAAAATTAATTTTATAAATTATCTTAAATAAAACAAATAATAATTAAAATAATACAAACCAAATATGATAAATAAATAAAATTTAAAAAAAATCAAATTATATAAATTATATCAAATAAAATAAATAATAATTAAAATAACATGGATCAAATATTAAAAAAATCTAAATAAATAATTACTTAAAAAATTTACGGA